TGAATCCGATGAAGTAAATAAAATAGAATGATGATTTTGATTCGAGCTGATTAATTTTTTTTTCTAGAATTTACGACGAGTACAAACACGTAAAATGGAATTAGAAAATATGGTACAAGAAATCGAACAACGTTTAGAAGAAGAAATGGAGCGTAGTAATGGCTGGACTAATGAAAGAAAACTATTAGAACAAAAATTACAAGATACTACTGAACAGTAAGTTTTCCGAAGAGAAGAAAAACTAATGTTGTTTCTTTTTCTAACCTCTAGACTTGAAGAAGAAGAACACGGTAGACAAAAATTACAAATTGAACGTGTACAATTCGAAGGAAAAATTAAGAATTTTGAAGATATTGTTGCTAGTCAACAAAATGAACTCGGCAAAGTAATTCGATCGAATATTCAAGGAAGAAAAAAAATTCCTTTATTCGTGGTTTTATTTTAGTTACAAAAAGAACGTAAATTCCTTGAAGATAAACTTCAAGAAGTTGTTCATCAACAACAAGATGAAGGAGAAAAACTGAAAAATCTTCTTCGACTTAAAACAAAACAAGAAAGTCAATGTGCTGATCTTGAAGAACGATTAAAACGTGAAATTGAAGTAAATCTCTTTTTTCTTCTACGAGACAAAGAACTCTTGCTTGAGAGAGAACCTACATTTTCGATCAAATTACTTATCATTTCGAATAGAATAATCTCTATATGAATTTATTTTCTTTTTAATTAGCTTCGTCAAAAATTGGAACGTGAAATTCGTCGTCTTGAAGGTGAAGTGCAAGAATTGCGTGAACAATTACAAGATCGTGTGCAACAAATTCATGATTTACAAGTTCATTTGGCACGTCGTGAAGAAGAACTAACACAAGCTGTGACAAATATTGAAACTGAAGCAGCAACAAAAGTAACTTTTCAACGTCAAATACGTGAATTTCAAACCAGTATACAAGATTTACAAGACGATATGGAAAGTGAAAAAGAATCTCGTAAACGTTTAGAACGTGAAAAGCGTGAATTAATGGAAGAAAACGAATCCTTACGTAATGAACTACTCGATCGTAAAGATATTAATCAAGTTATGCTTGAACGAGAGAAGAAACGCGACGAAGAAGTTCTAACATTAAAACGTTCATTAGAACAAGTACATGAAGAACGCGAATCGGTCATAGGTGAATTACGTCTTAAGTATACAAAACAAATTGAAGATCTAACGAGTCAATTTGAAAATACAAAAAAACAATTCCAAACAATAACCAAAGATCGTCAACAACAACAAAGTGATTTAACCGATCGTGATAATGAAATTAAAAATTTAAATGTTCAAAAACAAGAAATCGAACGTAAACGTCGACAATTGGAAACTTATGTTCAAGAACTTCAACATAAATTTAACGATACAGAACGTATTAAAAATGAAAATCTCGATAAATTACAACGTTATCAACAAGATATTGAAACTATCAATGCAGCATTTATTGAAACTGAACAACGTGCACAGAATAGCGAACGTAGTATAACTATGTTTAGACAAGATATTCAAGAATTACAAGAAAATCTTCAAGAAGAAAATCGTCAAAAAATGAATGCATTAGCTAAACTTCGTCAAACAGAAGATTTACTTAATGAATTCAAAGATCAATTAGATGATAAAGAAGAAGAACGTCATAAAACCGAGAGTAAAATTCTACAATTAACACAACAAAATACGGAATTACGTCGACAAGCTGAACTAGTTAATGTTGAACAAATGGATGAATTACGTCGACAATTTCAACGCGAAAAAGAAACCCTTTTGAAACAATGCGACGATGAAAAATTAATGAATACAAAATTAACAAAATCAAATCAAAAATTTTCAAACGACATTGCCGATATAACAGTTGAATTAGAACGTTATCGTACAATTGTACAAAATGTTGAAAAACAACAACGTTCATTCGATAAACGTATACAAGATGAAAAGATTTTACAAGACAAACTACGACAAGAACGTGATCAAAACGAACGAGAAATACGTGAAAAAGAAACACAACGATTGAATCTCCTAAGAGAAGTAGAAGAACGAACGTTAGCTTACGATGATCTAGAAAAACGTTCCAGACAATTGCGCACTGAACTTGATGATATGCTTTCAACAAAAGATGATATCGGAAAAAATATTCATGAATTAGAAAGAATCAAACGTGCACTTGGTAAGTAAATATTCTTTATAGTTCTTCAACTAGTTATTTCGCATGAAAATTAATTTTTTTAATTTTGTTTTCAGAGACAACAGTTGACGAACAAAAACAACAAATAATCGAACTGGAAGATGAATTGCAAACAGCTGAAGATGCTCGTCTACGTTGTGAAGTGAATATTGGCGCATTAAAACAACAAATGGAAAAACATGCTCATGAAAGCAATGAACAAATTGAAGATCGTATACGTTCATTAAATAAACAATTGAAAGAATATGAATTAGAACTTGACGAAGAAAGAAAATCCAAACAACAGGTTCTTCAACAACGCAAGAAACTTGAAATTGACGCTCAAGATTCACGTCTACAAATTGATGAAGCCAATAAACAGAAAGAAGAAGCATTACGCAATGCACGTCGATTACAGGTAATGTCGTTGCACAGTAGTTATGCTGAGAAGAGTTTCCGTATCAATGATTTTTATTTAAGACTCAAATTCGTGAAGTAACTCGTGAACTGGAAGAAATAAAAGTCGTTCGCAATGAATCTTTGATGAATGTTAAAGAATGGCAAACGAAAATAAAATCGCTTGAACAAAGTCTTCAACAATTAATGGATGAGAAAGATCTCGCTGATCGACAACGTCGACAAGCACTAGCAGAACGTGACGAACTTCAACAAGAATTAGCTTCTCTTGGTAGTGGAAAGTAAGTTTATTGTTGAGTTTGGAAAGAATGACGAAAAAAATGGAAATTGAAATTCCTTGTTTTATTCAGAGGTGCATTTATCGATGAAAAACGTCGACTCGAAGCACGCATAGGTCAACTTGAAGAAGAATTAGAAGAAGAACAAACAAATACAGAAATGATTGGTGATAAACATAAGAAATTAGCAATAACTGTTGAACAACTTATGCTCGATCTTGCTGCTGAAAAAGCTAACAATCAAAAAGCTGAAGTAAGCCAATCGGAAGAAAAATAAAATAATCAAATGGCTGTTTTTTTCTTCTTCTTAAGGCTGTACGTAGTAATCTTGAACGACAAAATCGCGAATTACGCGAAAAAGTCGAAGAAAACGAAGAATTCGGCAAAGGAAAATCAAGAGCAATGCTTGGAGCACTTGAAGCTAAAGTTCATGCACTTGAAGAACAACTTGATAATGAAGTTCGGTGTGTATCATGAAATTTTACTTGTATGCAATTATTTGTTTATCTATATTTATAGAGAAAAGCAAAAACTTATTCGAAGTATTCGTACAATTGAAAAACGTCTTCGCGACGCTACTGCTCTTGCTGATGAATCTCGAAAACAAGCAGAAGTCTATAAAGAACAAGTAAGAAGAGAAGAAAAATATCTTTCTTTTTTCGTAATATTTCATATTTGTTTGTTTTTCTATTCGCTTTGTTAAGTCTGAAAAAGCCGGTATGCGTGTACGTAATATGAAACGACGAGAAGAAGAATTAGAAGAAGAAGTAACACAAATGAAACAACGTTTACGCAAAGCTTTACGAGAAAAAGATGAAATTGAAGAAAATCCAGCTTATCAAAGAACACGGTAAGAACGAATTATTAATTTTTACTCAATATATTGAGCTGTTTATATTTGTTAACTAACCTAAAATCAGAAAAGAATTAGCTATGACTGATCTTGCACACAATCGAATCGTCAAATTAAATGACGATAGAAATGATGAGGTATCCTATCTGTTGCTTTCGGTGAAAGTGCTTACTCTTTTGTTTTTCTTTTTTGCCATAAATATCGAAATCTTTTATTATAGTCAAGCTTTTAAGAAAACGCCAATGTTAACGTATATAGTATAAAAAATTCGGATAAATTTCCGCATGTAAACATTATTTCTAATATAAACTTATTTTTTTTATCAATTAGTTCTCGGCTTAATTCTTTTGACCTTCAGTTATAAAAATAAGGTTCGATAAATGTTGTATTGTATCGATGTACATAGTTCTTAGAGAAAAATCATGTTTCATTTCTCTAATTCGCTTTTTCTATGAGCTCTTTGCTGTTTAAATATCGTATTTAAAAAAAATATTTCCTTTAGTCCTTCAACAGCTCATAATTCCTCAACATCTTACGTTCGAACACTTGTAACATCGACAAAATATTACTCCGAATTATCTGATGATGATCTACAATCTGAAGCAACGAACGCAAGTGTATCAGAGACACTCAACGGCGGTAATTCAACAATACGAAACAGTGTTGGCAGCGATTTTAACAATGGAAATCATTGAAAAAAATTCTCATAATAAACAGAAAAAGGCCAATCACGCTGTTCTTGCTTATCCTCATTTTTCATTTGTCTCATACACAGTGAGCGTTCTTCTCTATCGCATTTTGCTTGTGTGTGCGTGTGCGTGTGCGTGTGCGTGCGTGTGTAATTTCATTCTTGATCTTCTTATATATGTCTGCTTATTTTTCCAAATGTGAACATAGCCTTGCTCAGGGTTAGAGCTCATCGTTGTCATTTTTTTCTTCTTTATTCTTCATTTTATCTTTGCTACCTCTGTTAGACATTCTGTCTTTAAAACAAAGAACACAAAAAAAAGAACATCGAAATGATTACATTCCATTATTAACTACAAAAATATATTGAGCCGGCCACCAAAAGTCCAAATCATTTCTATATACATATATATATATATATATATTTACTACGCTGCCTTGATGTTATCAGTATTCGGCGTTTGTCTCTTTGTTCTATGCGTTACTTTTTTTTTTATACTTTCGTTCTCTTTAAACATAAAATATAGTCTCTCTATATTCCTTAAAATATATATAAACAAAAACATTTTATCTTGCATTTTATTGACGACAACAGCAATACGATATGAATATAAAACCAAACATGCATAATAAACAGAGTGTATCAACATAAAAAAGGAATGATTGGCATAGAAGTACAGCACATGAATATGCAATAATACGACCTAAATAACGAAGTGCTAAAGATTGGGCAAATGTTGATGATGAAAAAACTTTCATTGAATTACAAATAGAATCTAGAAACGAAACAAAAATGAGCACTTTTTTCTGTGGATTTATTAAAATATAAAGAAGAATTTACAAATTAAAATCGTCGACCATAAACCAAGAACAATTCCATAGGAGAAAAATAGAACATATTTCATGGTTAATGAATCAATATTATATAGACTATCTTGCATTCGAGTGAAATACGATATAATAATTGTTATCGAATGAAGAAGTGTCGTAAATGTTATACAGGTCTAAAGAAATTTGAAACAATTCGAAGGCATTCAAAGGCTAATTTCTTTTTACCATCGTTGTCATACGTTTAATAATCAAAACAATTAATACACTTGATATTGTTGAGCTTAATCCGTAGATAATCAACATTTCGGCTGCATGTCGAAGCCCGTAAAGGCATGTAACATCAAACTACATCATAGAGAGCAAAAAGCAAAATTTAAAAACCGATCCTCCAGTCTCATAGTCTAGTTGAGACTTTTTTTTGTAAGCGCTAATTATTCATGCGGATTTCAATCCACGAAAAAGCACTCTCGACAAGATTAATATTATATCAAAAGTGATCACGCATTCAGAATATCCTTTTATCGAGTGTAATTACCTTGATAATATTTCCAAAAACATAACCTTCTTGGAAACCAATAAATAAAGCAAATAAATAATATTTCGAATGAATTCTGTTCGATATGTCATTCGCTGCATCTTTATTTGAATAAGTAAATATTGATAATCGCCTACTCATAGTTATTACTGATGTTGTCCATTCTGTACTAATTTGTATAATTAAACTAATCGTCATTAAAACAATTAGGCTAATAAAAAGTATATAGCGCGTGGGTTCATTGGCCCATACTAGAAAATGCAAAACATGATTATGATAGAGAAAGACATTTTTTTTTAAACTGACCTTGCGTTTTTTCTCCTAAGTGCAAATTTAAATTTATTAAAATTGCCTGTGCTGTTGGTTCTAAAAATTGTTTACTATCATCTTGTTGATTTATTAACTGCAAACATGAAATTGCAATACATGATTGAGAACCAATTAGTATATAATTGTATTTCCATTGTTGAAATAAAATGACAACTAAGAAACAGCCGCCACCAATGGCTAATGCTAAATGACAAATACAATTATAAATACAAATAAATAATTTAATACGTTCGGTTAAAAATTTTCTATCTTCAATGGGTAATGTTGTTGATAATTGTAATAGATGATCAAATGTTTTTATTACCATGCAACTAAGACACACACCAGTTACACAGGCGCTTACAAGTAGACAATAATAAAACGAATGAAAATATTGCATTATGATCCATGTTGAAGTAAATATTGTTGTAAAAACAATTAAAATTTGTGAACAACGATCGTATGCGAGCATATCGGAAATTTTCCAACGGCAACGATTGGCATGTGTATGTGATGTGTATGCAGCAAGACTCAATGCCGATATCGACGAACTTAAATGTAGTGTTAATAGAATTTGAAAACTACGTTCCATTGAATAGATTGACGTTTGAAGAACTTCAGTTGAAAATAGACATGCTAATACTAAGACTGATGCAAACGATCGAAGCAAGAGAATGCGATGGCCAGATATGATGGTTATGGCTGATGAACTTAATGAATCGGTACGTTCATTTGATGACTGATTTGCTAGTGGTGGATTGCTTGATGAAAATGATTTTGTCAATGGAGATACTTTAAGAGATTTATGAAGACCATGAACAGGAGAATCAAGTAAAAGTGTTGCATTTTCTAGTAAACTATTATTGCCAGCAGAACGAACAACTGGCTGGCTAGTACTTCGTTGAATGTAACCATTGACACGACATGAATAACTATCAGATATAGCACATAACGATCGTGTAGTGTTAATATGATCAATAATAGACGATATGGATGAAGCATTCGAACATAAAACTTCTAGACGGTCTTGTTTAGATGTAAGAATTGCTATTTGATAACTATTTCGACGTGGTTGAATATCATTTCGAAGTAAATTATTATTATTATTATTAGTAGTAAGAGAATTTGTAAAATTTTCAGAAATATAATTGACGTTATTGTTCATGCTTAATGAATAACAGTCTGTATGAAATACAAATAGTTCACTTGATCATTTTGCCCAGACCCATTGGATATTTAAGAAAACTAACAATAGGAAAGTACAGAAGAAGAAACTTGTCGCATGCATCGATGAATTATTGGCATTGATTAATTAGATCTACTCTACGTTTTTTTTCTGGCATCCTTAAGCTGACATCTGTCAATTAGATTTCGTAGAGATATATACTTCTATATAGGAATGATGTATAAGTGTCGTAACTTTCTATCTATGATTAGCACGTCTAGCTTCCTATTTTACGAACTTGTTGCTTAGTACTAGTGTTGGTGCTTCACTTTACTCTACCTTCCGGTGGCTCTATAATTCTTGTTTCCGTTCTTTTCTGCAAAACACGCAGCAATCAACCGGATTGTTCTGATAAGATTTTCAAAACAATATTAACAATAGCACAGCTTGTTCTAAATTTCTTTCTAGTCATTCTCATCGGCAGTGTCGTATTTTCGAGTACTCTCTCATTTCTATGACAACATCTTGTAATGGAAAGGAAATGGTCTACTTGCTCAATAGTTCTTATCTTACTCTACAAAGAGACAAGAAGAAAAGAAGAAGAAGAAAGCGATTCTATTTGCAAGGATTAGCATAATAATATGCAATAGAAATAGGACTCTGCCAACCAATAAGTTTGGTTATAACAAAGGGACCAGCTGATTAATAATGATGATGATGAGCCAACCGCCTTCATTTATATTATTTTCTTTTGTTGCTGCTATCTGACAAAGTCATAGATATACGTATAGCTGCTATGATCATCTATGAAAGTTTACATTTAGAGGCGGAATCTCAACAACCATTGGTATGAAATGAAGCGTCACATTGTTATTAATATTGAGAACAAAGAAAAAATAGTCTATCATATGATTTCTTTTGTGGATTTAATCTTTTTAATGATTACACTAACAAAACCATATTCTTTTTTTGTTATTGTTGATGACAACCAGGAAAAAAATCTATAAAAAAGCTAAACATGAAATAAGAAAAGTAATCGTAGTTCATTATTCTAGCGATGATGGAATTCAATACAAACCGATGATCCTCAAGACATATAAATAGGTATATTCTCATGCAAAAATTATATGTTGATAACAGAAATTCATCTGTTATCAACATATGACACAGCAAAAGCATACAATAGATAAGATCTTAAAGGCAACCGCGAACAAACACAATTACATCTTCAAACAATATTTGGTGTTAACATATTCAAAAGAATTAAGCAGAATAATGCAAAAAATTCTGTTTACAATCATTTTTTTACTGATCATATCAGTTCATCGATCAGAACAGCAAGGCCAAAATGCCATCCATACATTATTTGGTGATAGAAATAAAACTGATGTTGTTTATTACGGATATGTTGATTTGGATAAATCTGAATATACTATATTAAATACATTAAATGTTGACGATGTTGGGAATCCTCGTCAACGAAAATATCAAATTTTACCGCTGACTTACGATCCTACAAATGATATTGCATTTATGGCAGCACCGAATAATCAAAATCAAACCATATTAAGTGTACTGAATGCAACCACTGGTGTTCTTTTACACGCATTCAGTTCAATTCCTAATCGAATTATTTCTCTTCAATATGATATATTTAATAAAAAATTGTTTGCCCATACTGAAGCAAATGTTGACAATGTAACACACATTGTAGAAATCGACACAAATACTGGAAGTTTTAAACAAATTTTAGGTGAAATATCTGGAGCTAAACCAACTGATATATGCAGTTATTGTCCAATTTGCAGAAAATATTTTTTTGTCATGATCGAAAATGACCATTTTACATATCTGGCTGTTAATACTACTGATGGCGGTGGAATTAGTTGGCGAGTACCAATAAATTTTGCTCCTCTTAATATCAGATTTAATTATAAAACATTTATAATGTATGCTGCTTTTGTAAATCAAACAGATCGAATAACTTCACAAATTGGAATACTAGATAGAACAGTAGGTGGCATTAGTAAAGTTGTTGGAACTATATCTAGCCGAGAAAATTTATTAGTCACTCGATTTTCGGCTTTTGACATAGCTACAAGCACATATTATATATCGGATGTAATGAGAATTCCCTTTTCGCGTGGAATATCATCACTTAATGTCAACACCTCAGAAACAAAGCGAGTTACTTTACCAGAGAATAATTACAATTCCTATGCATGGTTTATTAAACAATTCGTTCAATAAAATGAAACGCCTTCCGGTTTTATTTGATTTTTAGAAATTTTTCGAATTAAAAATAAATTCAATATACTTTCTTTTCTCTTGTTTAAATATGTATTAGAATTATCATGCAAATCATTGATAAACATTTGAAATTGTATATTAAATCGTCCTATTTGAAAACATAATACTGCCCCTTGGAAATACATATCGTATCAATAGCAATTGAGTCATATCAGTGAGTCTTTTCATTCCAAAATTTCGACAACATATTCAAACTGTCGCCCAGTAGATATTATGTAGACTAAGAGATTAAGGATTCGGTTAAATCTTATCAGGTGTATCTTCGTCTTTAACTAGAATGCCGTAAGGGCGAACGGCATTCGGATCAACGACACGCCAAATAAGACCGGTCGAAGTGGGCACATGATGAGTAGTGAATTTTCCTGGCTGTACACGACACATAAAAACAACTCGAAATGTTTTGTTCGTTCTATCTGGTAGTTGTACATAGAACGGTCTCGTATACTGCGGATGGGCGCCCCCGTCACAATGAGTTGTCAAATAGATTCCCGGTTGATCCATAGTTGGTCCCATTTGTTCCACTGCTTCTTGTCTCACGAAATCATTTTCAGCCGCATTTACTATGAGACCATTGGAAGCAACTCCGCTTATTTTCCTTGAATCTGTTCCATGGAAGGCAACTGGCCATTCGCCTTTGCCATTGGTAGAACCAAGCCAAACAGCATCATCTGGATACTTTTGATCAACTTTGAGTGCATGACGATACCAACCAATTGGCAAATAGTAAGTGTAACCACCACGATGTTGAGACTCAGGCATGCCTGACTTTCTATAGTCCATATTATAGGCTGGAGCGAAATCGCTCGGTCTCAGCTGTAGATATGATAGCATAGGCGCCCATGAGTATGGATATTCCGCTGGTTTAATATAATGAAGTATAGCATTTTCTTCAAAGCCTAAACGAGCTCGTTCCTGAAATAATGTTTTGTTTTAGTTTTTGTCAGATCTATAGCCCACGATATGAATAGCTCACCTGAAAATCGTCAGCCATTTGTTTGGTTTCTTTCTGATTAGGACTTGTGAGACCAAAGTGAACAATCGTTGTATTAGGCGTTTCGACTGATTTCTCAACAGAAAATACTCGAACATAATCCTCAGGAATATTTAATTTTCGAGCAATTGCTTGAGTAAAGTTTAATAGGAAATCTTTCATAGTATCGTTCGATTTAGCAAGATTTTTATCATAGTCGAGATGTACAAGAACGGAAAATCCCGCCGTTGGAATATTGTTCGTCGGCAGTAAATGAGCACTGCCTAAATTAGCTACTCCACAGGCAGTTCGATAAGCACTCTCGTCGAAGGGTAGCTCACCGTTAGTAAAGCTCAAATCGGCACCGAATTGTTGAGCGAAAGCATCAAGCATTAATATGAGCGTTTCGGTAGAATTTTCATCTACATTAATTGGTTGCTGACGGAAGTTGTTCGATTGTCCAGTAGCCATTCTATAGCGGGCCACAGTGTTAAATGGGCGTTGATCAACAGTATCCGATGGATAGACAATGCCTTTCAATGCTTCTTGCTCATCGTCTGCATCAAACCATGAAGGTGCCATTTTGAGTTTCGTTTTATCATGTCCAATATTCATTTTCGTGATGTTTGGTCTAAGCTCTGTGCCGAGTTTTACACATGGTACTACGGTAGCACTGGTGGGTGGCTCGATGACTGGACGCGTATAAGCCTTGCGAAGTTTCTGATTACGCTTTCGAATTAATTCGTTAATGCGTTCATTCAATTCTTCAATGCGTTTACTGATAGTATTACTATTACCTGTACCTCGATTGTTAGATTTGATTACAAGCGCATCACGTTCTTCTGTCAACTGTTTGATAACTTTATTGAAATCATTGACATTATTCAGATTGTCCATTGCTCAAACCAACAATAATTCGTATCTGTTGCTGTTCTAGAAAAGACAAACGAGAAATTATATTTCTTATGGCAGAAAAGTAGATATGTTCGAAATATATATTTTGTCGACATTTAAACTACCATTCGTATTGGTATACTTTTCTGCTCACAAAAGCATTGAATAAAAAAACTGGCAAACGACAAATAACGTTTGAAGTTTTTCTTTTCGTAATTTTAATATGATTACGCATAATAGTAAAATTATTGAAATGTCTACTTCCAGATTTCACTCGCTGACTGTTGAAAAATCCAAGTCAACAGAAAAAATATCATGATAATATAAAAACAAGTTGCCTATACTGTTTCAGTTTTTTAAACTTTAAAAAATACAGAGTATAAGACAGTATGGGCATGAATAATTTCGAACACGGCTACTAACCATCGACTTGTAACAAAAAGAAACAGTCGCACCTGTAACTATTCATCAAGTATTTACACGAAATATATTTTTTTCTGTTGATTGAAGAAAGAGAAAGTATTCACACTTTCTTTATTTGTGAAAATTTGAAATAAACGAAAAAGCAACTGTATACATATGTCTGTCATTCTTACTTAAAGAGTTTAAAGAAACTAAATTTTATGGTAGTTATACTTTATCCCTTTTGGCTTATAACATTATGAGGTTGGTTAATAAGTTTACTTACATTTAGTTCAGCATTATAGAGCGGATTTTTTTTGCCACCATTATTATGCAAAGATATTTGATAAGCAAACGAGTCTCTTCGCATTGAAATAAAATCACCGTTTTGATTTTTTGCATTTTACAATGCTTCTCGTGCACTGCTACTCTTTGTCAAAGAAAAGCAAATATAAATTGAAGCAGCGTAAATGAGTTTTGAATCTCTTTCATATACTAAATCGATTCAGATGCTGAGTTACTCACATAAATTCAGGTACACAAGCTACACGTTAGCATTATCTTGTCCCTGTGTATATTGATTTTTTTGACTGACTACTTGTTAATACTTTCTCACAGAAGTTGTGGCTTCGTAATCGAAGTCGATCAAGTAAATGATATCCACTTAGTAAATCTTTCTAACATTTAATTTAACATTTATGGTGCCAAGAAGTTTCAAAAAATAACATTGCAATAATTGAATTTCGCACTTATACGGCTTGCTCTACGTTCGCTATCAATCTAAATCAATTAGCGGCTCGATGATGGGCTTCAAATAAGTTCAGAACGGATTACAAATTTATATTGAAAAAACGATTTTCATATTTAGGTCTTGATTAAGTGGAACTATCATTGTGTATATTTTGATGATCGATGGTAAAAGCAAGCTTAAAGAAAAAAATGATTTAGCATATAACTCTATTAAGTACATGTCGTGCTCTCATACATAATCGTTTCATTTAGTCAGTTTCTTTGTTGAATAACTGGTCATCATACAAATGTTTTTTTATGCAATTGCTCTTCTCGTTATTCTTCCATAAATTTCCACAAGCGTTTTCTTAAGTCCACTGCGATAAGTTGCTGATATTAACATATAAGCATAGACGCTTACACATTGATAAGAACTATAGATGAGAAATGCAATTGCTGGGATTAATAATTCTATTTTCCGCGTATCACGAACTTTTCGTGAGTTTATTGTAATCGTAGGATACAATTTAACTTCGAAAAGAGTTAGAGTTGTAATTAAAAAACCAAACAATTTGTATGCGTAGCATGTGTGCGAATTGATGATTCATACACTGCGTCTCTGTTTGTTGTGCTGTTCCAATACATTTTTTAAGATTTTGATGAGTTAGAGCGCCAAAAATTGAAATATTAGCAGCTTTTATTGAACTCCATTGTCATCGACGCACATCCCGACTTGTCGAACAATAGTGATCAGCAGATGCTAAGCATAACATCAGTATTGACACGGTAGTAAAGACAGTTTGGAGATAAGTGGAAATTTTACATAGAATAAGTTTTGATCTACTAAAATATCTATTGTGTGAAACATCAAAGATAATAGATACAAGATTAGTTAATAGTGTAAATGAATTAGTAATATCACCTGCGAGTAAATAGAATAAACATGGATTAGCTTTCAATTTAGTACTAAACATTAGAGCATTAATCGAGTTATCGATTAAACCGAAAATGAGCAGTAAAAAAGAACCGTAAAGCCATAATTGATTGGTTGCAAACTTCAATGTTTCAATCTTGTTTTGTTGCATGTTTGAAATCTATTGGAAAGTTTAGAAAATGAATAGGTCCCTGAAAATGAAATTTTTGTTTCTGATTTCACAAAAAATGCCATCTGGATTTATTTTTATGTCTGTCTAGATTGAATGAGTCAATGATAAATTTATCAATAGGATATTGTATTTATTTGCTTCTATTAAACATTATTATTAATGTTTTGATCTAATCATCGACTATATTTGAGAGACAAATGGTTAATATTTGTACAAAATACTAGCAGTATCCAACGATTGAACAATAGAAACTCTTAATCTGCCGAGGAATTGCCAGTGCCATTGTGATAATTCCTAGAGGAAATGACAATCAACCATTGGCTCCCTCACAGTTCCAACAATCGCGAAACTGGCGATATTGCTTTTTAAATAATTTGTGCACGGAACTATTGATTCGCACAATTTTGCAGATGAGAATGAGTGTAAAAACAAAAATGATCGCGAATATTCCATATTTTTACCATTAATATGCAAGAAGCTGTAGAGGAACTGAGGAGGAATTCCTAATTCTCAGTCTTTGACACCCCTCTTTTTTGTTTAACCACTGCAATTCTGCACAAAAACCATGACTCAGTGGTGATGATTTATCAGCGTCTGAGTCACCCTGTCGGTTGCACAATTACTTGTTTTTCTTTCTTTCGTTCTCTCATCTGTGATTGCTTGAAACGAGAAAAGATTATAAAGTGTTGAGAAATTATTATATATACGACGCAATAAAGAACACATTACATTCATTCCTCAAAATTTTCTATGGCAGAAACAACTACAATTAGCGCGTCGGTTGCGCCATTAATAACGCAAAAGCTACCAGTCGTTCGCTTTAATATCGATCTGCAATGTCCTATTCAATATGTCACTGTCTACAACGATCGGGCAGAAGTCACACGAATTCTACGACATCATTTTGATGTTGAAGGTACATATGAACTTGTGCTCGATGGGTTTTCTACATTTGTAGATGAAACATCGTTGCATGTCAGTGGTGGAACAGGTAAATCATGCACCATCCTCGAAGTATCGTATCAAACACGACATGAAGATATCGCTCCACCATCAGATTTGTCATCTCTCGATCAACTTCAAAATCAACTTGAAAACATTCTCACTGAAATCGAGACACATAAACGTGAATTAGCACGACTCGTCAAGCAACGCGCTTGGCTCGATGGACGTTCTACCAAATTAATGAATCAAGATGGGCCGTGTACGAGTAGTGATCTGGATAATATGCAACAATTCCTCGAGTTCTATCACAAAACACTATTGATACTCGACGATCAGTCAGCAGGTGAAGAAGACGAAATTAAGAAATTGAATGATCGTCAAGAAGCTTTGAAATCTCAAATCAATCAACACGGTGCCACAGCTGAAGTGAATCGACGAAAAACATGTCGAGAAATGACGATCACAGTTCATGTCGCTGATGGTCAAATTGATGTAGCACTCGAAGTATCCTATTTGATTGGTAACTGTTCTTGGACTGCTAGCTATGATGTTCGTGTAAGTAGTGTCGAAGCAAATCGACAACGAACACAACTTACTTACTATGGAATAATTGTAAGTATTCGATTTCAGTGAGAATATATCTAGGTATGAATCTCATACATACGTATTTAGGTCAACAGAAGTCAAGAAAACTGGCATGATGCAAATTTCTCGTTGTCTACTGCAACACCATCGTTGGGCGGAACTCCACCGAAATTGAGTACACTCAAAATCGATTATTACAAACCATCGCCGCCAACTTATCACAGACCTACCCGTAAAATTCAAGCAGTTGTTATGGATCGAGGTGAATCTTTGGATGCAATTGAGTTACAATGTGCGAGTTTATACTCGAAACGCTCGAAAGGTGCATTCAGGTCATTTCGTGGTAAATCATCGCTTAACTATGACCCCACCATTGAAGAAAACAATGAAGCTGCAGAAACTCAAGTCAATGTTCTCACTTCTACAACTGAAGCCAGTATGTCTAGTACGAGTTTTGTCATTCCTCGTCGATCAACAATCGATTCTGATGTCAGTATTCTAATTACACAGTGATCTCGAATACTAATGTAATCTTTCGTTTTTTTTCTAGGGAAAACCGCACAAGGTCACCATCGGTGTTCTAGATCTCACTTCAACATTTACATACACTGTTGTGCCAAAGTTGTCGCTTCATGCCTTCCTCAAAGCATCAACAATAAATACATCCGATAAACAACTTCTAGCGGGACCAGTGTCTGTGTTTATGGATAATAATTTTATTACACACAGTTCGATCGAAAATGTTTGCATTGGTGATACATTTGATCTACCACTTGGTACAGATGCTAGTGTCAAAGTCGAATACAAACCAGTAAAGAAAATGGTCGACAAACAAGGTTTCATTTCAAAAGTGCACCATGAAACGATTCGTCATGAGACTCATATTGTTAACACCAAAGCCACTGAGACGACGGTGTTTGTCTACGAACAAATACCTCTATCTTCAGATGAGAAGATCAAAGTGAAATTGATCACACCAGATATAAGACAAAAAGAACTCGCACGTAACTGCACAGTAACAATGAACGATAAGAACAATTTAGAATGGAAATGTGTTTTGCAATCACACGGTGAATATCGATTTCCGTTAGAATATCTGATGGAATGGCCAGTAGAGAAACGTGTGGAATTCAAGGAAGAATAGAAACTAACTTCTTAGGGCATTTTTATTGTAATAGTACAACATTTAATTTTGTTTTCATATTCAAAATACAGTTATACTTGAAAATTGTTAGCTCTATCTAGTATTATACTGATAGATTCAAATTATTCATTTGCACTGAAGAAAATATCGTTACTATATATATATGAGTCAGTTGCAACTTTATTGTACGGTTGATGAAAAAAAATGAAAGTTACTTTAGAGAAAATCTAGGTAATACATATTGTTCTCCATCATTTTCTGAGTAGGCCGGTAAAATTTCCCAACTACCCGATGTAAAATCACCGAGATATTCAAGCCCAAAGTCCAACTTTTCCTGTGTAAAATTTAGTGCAGAAGAACGTTTTCAAATTAACGCAAAGACATCCATATTGCGTATTAATCGATAACTCTCAGGGATTTCTATCTATCTCACCAAATACGAGTCGTTTGAACTGAACTAATGGGTCACAGAACCTAACAACGCACAGGCGAATTTTCGTGGTAGAACGCAGAAGTATCGCTTTTTTTCGTTTATTTATCTGCAAATCTTGCTCAGCGTGGTCTCAGGAGTCAAATTGATATATAATAAGACTAATTTTGGCCAAAAGTCGCTCGAAAATCAGTGCAAGAAATCTGGAGCTACAAAAATCTGGAGCTACATTTTGACGTATAATGTAAATTTCTTCTAAGGTTTAAAAGCTGTATGGCTGAAACTTTGTGTGGTTATAGAACGTTTTGTATACTATATGGGGTGAAAGTTTGAGAGAAATCGGACCAGTACTTCAGGAGTTATTAACTAAACCATTTTTGAAATCTGGAGCTACAAAGTGAGTGAAAACAAGCTTTTTTCATTTTTTTTAGTTTAAAAAAAAGATTCTTTTCAAAAACATTTGGCTGTTCCAGACAGCTTTTTTATGCTCTATCTTTCGGCAAGATCACTTTTTCAAAAATCAGTTTCCTTAGTTTGAGAGAAACAATTTTCATCTGGAGCTACATTTGTGTGTAAAAGTATTACCATAATAAACGATCACAAAGAGAAAATTAAATAAATAAATGAGTCATAGGTTTAGATAGCTTGAAACGTGCTATCTAATTTTTCTTTTAGTGCTCTTTCTTTCCTTGAAAAATCAGTTTTTTCTTAGATGAGTCATCGCAAAATGTATTTTATTTTACTTTCGATGTAAGTATCTCGACAGATTGACGAGCTAGAGACTTCAAATTTCTATGGTAGTATAGGCATGGATTAAGCAGCAAAACAAAATAAATTGAAAATCTGTTCTCTAGAACCGGAGTTGTGATTAAAACACTTCTATATTCCAATCGTACAATAAAGTTGCAATTCACTCATATATCTAAAAAATGAGACATAATATTTAATGCATACTCTTTTTTGGGTCGGTATGGATGTGAGTATTGGTATGAGTTAAAAGGAGACCCTCGCTGGCACCACATCAAGAAAGTTGATGTTGGCGATGGCACTGCTAAAAAATTGTTAACACTTCTTACTTAGTCATATACGTATGTCAGTATAGTAGTTTTCGGATTGAATTATCATGAAGATTTTTGAAAAATATTTTATGAACAAATTGGACCAAATAATCAAATTGTTCTTGAAGATACTAATAATATTTTAGCCCCCCCCCCCCCCCTCAAAGGTCGATTTTCGCCAAAGAAAGTCCAAATCGGCTGAAATTTTCAGGATATGTTGGGACTATATCAGATAGTCTACGATAAAAATTTCAGTCCGAAATATGCAAGTTTAAGGGAGTTATACGGTGAACAGTGGCTAAAAATGGCCCATTTGGCCTCCTAGACTTTTTGCCTTCAACTATATTTTTTCGAAATTTTTTTTACCATTCGATAGAGCATGCAAAGATGTAGGGCATGAGGTTCTTCGATTTTTTTTAAAGTCCATCTATAAGCCGAAAAATTTTGCACAAGCAAAAATCCTTCAAAAAAGGTCAAAAAATTGCATGCAAATTTTGTAGGCGACCTTTTTTGGACATAAAAAAATTTTTTTCAAAAATCGAAGAACCTCATGCCCTGCGTCTTTGCATGCTCTATCGAATGGTAAAAAAAAATTTTCGAAAAAACATAGTTGAAGGCAAAAAGTCTAGGATGCGCGTTGGAAAAACATAGTTTTGAGAAAAACGCAAAAACATTTTTTTGCTGTTTTTTTAATTTTTTGCAATTTTCACGCGTTTTTTGAGGAAACTGACCTAATTTGACCTACGTAACTTTAAATTCTGCACACGCTGAGCGCTTAATTAATTCTGAATTAATTAATCAGTAATTAGAGATCAAAAACCTAATTATACTGCCGTTTTTGACATGGAGGACCTATCAAAGATCATTAAAAATTTCGGTCAAAAAATGGTCTTTGAAAAAAAAACTATAGTGATTCTGAAAGAGCAGAACATGGGCTATCACTCCATGGTGTTATCTCAATTTTCAATGTTTTGATGAAAATCGACTGTTTTGGAGGGGGGGGGGCTTAAATTCATATGAAATACTCAATGTATTTGATAAACAAGATAAATTTAACACTGTTTGCTATGTGAAATGCAATCTGCAAGAACCGTTGAATAGAGACCTGTGAGGAACGCCTAGAACCCGATGATTATGACTCCGATGGAAATATCAGTAACATTTTGTTATAATATCTATGTACTATTGCTCTGTTACATTTCTAGGAAATTCTGTTAGAAAGAATGATCCAAAACTAGGTAGAATAAAATAATCTCTACATGATTATCAAGAATTATTGGATCGTGTTTCATATTTCAATTGTACAAGGATTTTCCTAAAAACATTTCTTCTTGTATTATGTTTGTCTTTTGTTGTTGATAGCCTGGTGTGAGAGAAACTCGAATAGCTGAAAACGATCGTGGTGAAATATATACATTCTTTAATATAATCCTATTCAAAATAATCTTCACTTAATATTATGTATTTCACATCGATTGGCTCATCTTTTTGAACTTGTTGTCGTATATTTCCATCATGTGTTACTTGTTCTACATCGGGTTGATTTGTGTGCATGATGACGTGACGTTTCATTATCTGTTGTACTGTAGATCGTTCGAAAAATATTCATAGCCAAAAGGTAAATAATTCATCTTGAATCAATTTATTTATTTATACATTTATAATTATTCTTAATGATAACAAAATGTAAAGGAGATGCTTTGTTTTTCATAGAAATTTACAATGATTATGCACGAACAGACGTTTTCAACATGGTTTCAAAAGATTTAGAAGAAACAAATGTTGTTGCTGTTGTTGAAGAAATGAAATTAGAATTAGTTGCATTATAATAACAATTGGGTTGAAAACGAAATCCTGTAAAATAGCTAAACAATGACGGAAACAGTAGGTATTGATTAAGAACGAAGCTGATGATGTATATATAAAAATTTTGAAAAGAGCATAAAAATTTAAAAATTTCGTATCATTAGAAAAACATTTTTTCGGAATCAATCTTTCGTGTATATACGTATTGGTAGGTGAGTCATGTCGTCATGGAATTTAAAGCTGTTATATGTATCAAAGCTGAAGAAACCCAGACAATGAAAGATAATACACAACATGATCTCAATCAAGTACCACCAGCTGTCGGAAAGCTAACAAAGCAATCGGACGTTTGAAAGCAAAAGAATCTATTGTTGAAGTTCGAATATTTCACCTCATGTGATTGAACTCGTCATCAAAGCTGTTTGTATTCGTATGTTTTAAAGGAAAAAAGTAAATCTTTCTTTTTATTCCAAATAAGAAATTGTTCACTCAATTGGAATTCAACATCAGCTAAAGTTTTACTTGACGATCCTAATTTTATAAATTAAATTCGTAATTATCCAAAATAGATAATATATCTGAATAAGTTTAACGTGATTTAAAATCTTATTTACAAATGTCAAATTTTAATTAAAAAGATATTTTTACAAAGTTCTATTGCATGTGCAAGTCTTCCTAAAGAAAATATACCGATGAATTTAATGAATAAATGAAAACTGTGACTGGCAATGTATTTGTTTCATATCAGCGTGAATTGCTTATTATGGAGCTTTTCTGTGAACTTATCGACAAGATGTATGAATTATGCTTGATTTTTCTTGTCACCTTGTCGATCATTGGATTACTGAAAGGTAAAGAACATAAAATACCTGTATCTAATAATTCATCGACTATTAAATGTACTTGTTGATATGCTGCTTGTTCAATTCGACAATCGGTTACACAAAGTGTACCACATGATGATTTTAGTATAGAAAATGCAATTTGTTACGAAAGGTCGTCGATGGCCTTTATAAAAAATTATTTCTTAATTTATTTCATTTCATTTTCTTTTGTCGCTTTTAAAAGAATTATTGGTCCACAAGAAATAGCAAATCGTTGGATGAAAAAACAAAAATTATTGAAATGACTGATGGACACTATTGACGTAGATTAGAAAATTGGGTTCATATTGATGATATGCTATTATTATAAGAAGATGTTGGTGAAACACTTGATCTAGCCATTAGAGCCTATTTAATTTAAAGCAAATGAATAATCGAACTATTCGTCGTGGAATTAATTTCTCTAATGGTTATGTTTGATATGATGAGCACTCATTTCTAGACAAAGAAAATGAAGATCATTGAATCATGACATAGAAATCCTTATTTTCCCAAGTTTTCTAAATTCATTTTTCAAATAGAAATTAAAATTCTTGACTACTTTTATTCATTAAGTTTTATAAAATATCAGTTGATATATTGTAATAAAACATTTGGAACAGAAATCTACTATTTTCTTTTTGTTTTCACATGCGACTATATATATGCAGCTCATCTCAATCTCTTTACTCTGATCCTATCACTTTTGCACTAATAATTTCTCTTATATTTATAGATAAAAGAAAAACCGAACAAAAAATGTACCGTTATGGGCGTAGGTAATGATAATCCCAGGTGAATGAATCCGAGAACGAATCTTATCGAATCCATTGGATCCGACTCCCTGACAGAATCCGATAGGATTCCAGGACACGGACCCATTGTCGGTTCCGACGGAAAAAATCATTTTCTTATTCACGATCGAATATGCACTTTGAGCGATCAGAGCACAAGGGTGATTCGTTAGAGTTAGATTCTGTTAAAATCCAACATCGGATCCAATACCAAGGATCCGACTGTAGGTCCGTGTCCAGGAATCTCATAAGATTTCGTCAGTTTTATTGGAACACACATGGTATTCGGTATATTCACTGTCTGACACTTGTCGGAATCTGATAGGATCCTACTATCGGAATAATTCTCCAGGGATGAAGAAACTGCACAAATATTGAAATTAAAATTACTTGTCGAACAAGAAAAAACAAAACGACAACAATTAATTATTGAAAAAGAAAATGAAATACTTATCGCTCAAGAAACAACGAAACGAATAAACATCCAACAGAAACATTGTTTATCGTCAGTCAATAAATACCTGCTTTTATTGAGAAATCTTCATGATTTTTACGATTATTATGTAAATGGCAATCTTGATTCGTTCGATATCAAGTTGTTGTTAAATGCCCAGGTCGAACATTACGGACGTAGGGAAAGTTAGCAGCGGATTCGAGTATTTCTTGCTAACATTCGCTTGTGTATCTGTGCTGGCCCTCTAGATGGTTGTGCTGGGTGCAGAATTTTATGCTCTATCGAATGCACTCTTATTTTTTCTTCAGTACCTTTCTTACCTTGAGACAAACCTGAAATGCTGCAAAAAAAAGCCAAAAACGTCGTAATCTTTTCGTAAAACCTGTATGGATTCGCTAATCCGTGGGACCAACACGTGAACACGATGCCAGTCGATAGAACTCGACGCGCTCTATCGAATGGGCACCTTTCCAGCTAATACACATGCTGAGATCCCCACCAAAATTGCTAATTAAGCTTGAAAACCAGGTTTCTTTTGTAAAACCTGTGTGGTTTCGCTAATACGTGGGACCAAGACGGGAAAAGGATGCCAGTCGATAGAACACGGCGAACTCTATCCAATGGACACCCTTTGAGCTCGACTCGATGCTAGGATCACCTCCGAAGCGGCAAATCCAGATCTTAATTCCGGATTCATGACAAGATTTTTTGTTTTTGTATCCAGCACATATTAATAAGTTTTATTTCCTTGATTGAAAACAGCTAAAGACTTCTTATTTCTTATTATTTTATTATTTTGTTTTTAGTTTAGTTTTTAGTTTTTTAGTTTCTTTTATTTCTTTCAATTTGAATTGTCCGAAATGACGGTAAGGCAACGACATCGTCTTATTGTTGTCAGTTTGAGAAGAAAAACTTGATCGGGAATAGAAAAAAGTATCTAAACCAAAATTTAAAAAAATTTAAAATCTTTTTTTAAGTAAGAATTGTCATAAGCTTGGCATGCATACAAGTGTTTTCTCGATTCGATCACTGATTGATCGAGTGAAACGATCCAATAAATTTGTTTTCTCTCCTGCATAAGTCTATGCATGTAATGCACTTATCGATATATACATATTCCTCCCTCTTTCGTTCCTTCTTCTCCATTGAAGTAAATCAGCAACGTATCAATTTTTTTCTCTTTCTGTCGATAAATATATCGATGAATAATACGAGGGCGAGGATCGTGATAACGAGAAAAATGTTTTTTTTGCTTCTCTCCTTTTCCATTCGCACGCTTCCAACCTTATTAACCAATAACGTTTTTTCTCTTTCTCTACATGCATGATTATTTTCAACGCAATAATAAAATATAAATAAGACGATGTCGTTGCCTTACCGTCCTCTCGAACAATTCAATTTAAAAGAAATTGAATAAACAAACAAACAAAAACTAAATAATAAAACAATAAGAAATAAGAAGTCTTAAGCTTTTCTTTCAAGGAAATAAGACTTATTAATATGCGCTGGGTACAAAAGAAATAGAACAACAAAAAATTTTCCAATGAATCTTGAACTCAAGTGCGATTTGCCTTTTCGGAGGGAATTCTAGCCTCGAGTCGAGCTGAAAAGGTATCTATTCGATAGCGCTGGATGAGTTCTATCTGCTGATATGATTTTCAAGTTTGGTCCGATGTGTGAGCATCTAAATATAGCTTTTCCAAAAAAAAGACTGGTTTTCAGCCTTAATTAGCATTTTTGGTCGGGATCACAGCATGTGCGTTAGCTGGAAAGTTGCCTATTAGATAGAGGTCGGTGAATTCTATCTGCTTGTAACATATTCAGAGTTCGGTCCCGTACTTCGGCGAATCCATACAGTTCTTTCGAAAAATAACTGGCTTTCCAGCTTAATTAGCATTTTTGGTTTGGACACTAAGGTATAAATCAGCTGAAAAGGTACCCATTCGATAGAGCACAAAATTCTGCACCCAGCACAACCATCTAGAGGGCCAGCACAGATACACAAGCGAATGTTAGCAAGAAATACTCGAATCCGCTGCTAACTTTCCCTACGTACATTACGGTGACCTGATACGATCGTAAACGGCCGTATACGACAACGTTTACTACCGTTTTATAACGTTTCTGACCGTAAATCGCCGTAGTTCGACGTTTTGGCATGCACCGTATTACGGCCGTAGTGTGGTCGAATATTTCAGGATCCGACAGTATACGATCGTTTATGGCACGATGCAAAACGACCGTAATACGGTGCATATCAAACGGCCGTAAATTGTGGTCAAACGGCCGTGTACGACACAAGTTGATCGACCTGGGTTAGAACGATTTCGCCCTGATTGTAGTTTTAATTACAAAAGTATTAATATGGATAAGCCACAATCGAAATGTTTTCAAGATTTTATTGTTTGTCTTGATGAATTAAAGACCCCACCAACTTCCTTAGATAACGAAGTAACTATTGGACGAGTGTTGCAATACTTGACTAATGTATTAAAGGTACAAAATCGTCGAAAGATCTATGGTTTTCTAGCTAATTTCACACATATAACATTTTATTGTACTGAAAAGAAACCATATTCGACTTCATATAATTATTATAAAAGTCAAAATTTTAAACTGTTTGATTCTTTTTCTGAACTATCATCATCTGTTGGTACGAAAAGAAATTTGAATAAAGAAACATGGAAAATATTTACAACATATTTAACAATGAATCCGAACTTTTACCAATATACAACGTTAAATATAAATCCTCTTGATGATTTACGTGGTGATAGATATTCAATTTCTAAGGAAAAAAGATTGAGTTTTGCGTTACTTAAAGTAAAACCCGTTTTTCTTTTACGATCGGTAGAACTTTTTTCTTAATTGAATATCTCCGAGTAAAACTTAATGTAAATTTTTTCTTAAGCTGAACTAAAACTTTAGACTCAATTGAATATTTAGGAGAGAGTATATCAGGTTAGGATCAGAATTTTACCTTTTTCCTAAACCCTTTGGGAAAGCCAACATGGGTTTATGAGTGCTTCATAAACTTTTTCTGAGGGTTTATTGATTTCCTAAACCCCTTGATATACCCTTGGGAAGGATATTTCAAAGGGTTTATGAGTTTTCTAAACCCTTAGTAAACCATTAAAAAGGGTTTAGGAAAATTTTACATACGGTAAAAAGGGTTTATTATACGTTGCACTTTCATCAACCCTTTTTGAGTTTATTATTCAACGAATTTTTTTTACAGTGTAGGATTCAGGAAGTTATGAAACATTTTCTATAGAAGAGCAACTTTTATAGAAAATTATCTATTAGTATTTCAGCCCATACTTAGTTCTTTCATAGATGATTGCAATACTTGCAACACCATTGTCTCAACATATTTTACCAGTAAGAATTCCAATTTAACCTATATCTTAGGACTAATGGAAGTTTTAACGAACATTTTTCCGACAATCTGACATCGGACTATTTCAAAGTGGAAATCGGGTTTGGGAGCTAAAATATATGTATATACTGCTCGTTCCTCTTTGTTGTCAACATGGTTAAGCTGTGATGTAATTGTTTATTTATTTTGTATTAAAGATTCTCGAGTCAAACACTCACCCTTGTTTTTACAGAATCTAAGTAGAATCGGACTGTGATCAGATATTGAATTCCAAATGAAACAAAAAAATACAATCAGTGAAGAACAGTTTGAGTCATAGATTACCAATAATGATTTTTTCAGTTTTTGTTTAATTTTCGACAAAATTTTTGTTCTATTATTTTTATTACTCTCTAGGCTATAAGCGGTTTCAATTTTTTTCGTACTAGCTTTAATGATGTTGAGTTGTACATACTTAGAATAAGATTCAATTATTCAAGTTAAAGGGCCTAAAACTTAGCCTGAATCAGTGTCCTATATATGTACTATATACGAATACAGGATCCTATATAAATGATACTTTTAATTCCTATATATTCCTAATTTTATATTCTCACAAAGTGCCTCAACGAAGCCAGATTACATCATATAAATAAACGTAGCAGAGGTGGCAGCCCCAAAATATTATGGGATTTGCCTTTTCAAGTAGGTATTAACCCTTTCTGCCAATTCAAAAATTGGCACAGCGTCGCAGAATTTCTGTCAAGTGGCAAAAGTGTGTTGTAATTGGCAGCGTGTCGTATGATTTTCTGCCAATTGGCAGAAATGGTTATGAAACTATAAACTCGAATTTCTAAATTAACTTAAAAAAATATTTCTGACTAAACTTGAAGATATATTTTTATTCTCTTGTGGTTTATAAGTTGTCGCTTCCTTATTTAATTTATTATGAATTTCAATGAACATTGAAGATTTTTGATCCGATTTACTGTTTAGAATAATTCTCGCAACAGAACGAGTAATTCGCTTTTCAACGGAATACGATTTGGTTGGTGACATAACAAGCGAAAATAATATTTATATATAAACAAATTAACAGAGATCGGCAATGAAGAAGTTGTGATCTACAAACAAGAATAAAATGATCAGATTAGAGGAAGAATAGAGAGAAAGTACAGATTCAGTGCACTTATAAAATAAAATATTAGTTATAAGTAGAGAGTGGAACGAAGCCCAGTCGAGTATAGTAGTAGAGACGAGAAATAAAACACATCTAATGGCCTTTGCGGATGAAAGGACAAATTAAAATGGTGTGAAAATGTGATAAATAGCCCAGTATTTATACGTTGTAATAAGTCGGACTGTAAATGAATACAATTTGGTTCAGTAAGTTGGCTATTCAGAAACAGAATGTCGCTTCATTAATTCAACAAACTAAATTAGTTAGACCGATAGAAACACGAAAAAAAGAAAAGAGAAAAAGAAAGAGGTAACGATAAAATAGAGGAATTCAATGACTCATAGCCATTTGAAAAGATGAAATCAGTCGTATTCAATTAAGTTTCTTCTTTCATATTTCCCTATTATAACCGAGAGACATCTTTTACGTATAGAAATAATATTAACTTAAGCAATCCGTAAATTCCCATGGGCGATTTTTTGCCAATTGGCAAAATGTCACTGTCTTTCTGCCAATTCTTAGAACGTAACTGGCAGAAAGGGGAATTGGCAGAGTGACATAGATCCTTTCAAGTAAAGCGAAATTTGCGTTTAACATAGTCTCATATTTTTTTTTTTGGGTAAGGCTATACGTTCTGCTGCTTATGTATATGATTCACATTTTCTACCATGTTTTAGCTTTTTGCTCTACAACAATAAGCATTTTAACAACTTTGAACCAAATACCAAAAGTCCCGAAAATCTTTTTTGTGAAGAAGATAAAAAATTGACCGAATCGATAACAGAAATCACCGAAAAATAATATTGCTTAACTGCATCAAATCTTAATGGACACCTGTGTGAGCCAAGCAAGAAAAATCCGAAGCCAACATAGTCTCAGAAATACTTAGAAATATTCATGAGGTTCCATTGGGACCCATTGGGATCTAATGGGATCCACAGGATCCGGGATCCGCTTTTCCCCCTTGCTATAACCCTATCGTACCCTACAAATTCACACATTGACCTTACTCTACCATCTGGTCATCATACCCTACTCCTGTCCTACTGTATAGACTTTTTCATTGCCTATCCTACTATACTCTCTGATTTGCAGATATTGCCCGATAATTTAATTGAAGCGTTTTTTATTGTATTGCAACATATCTAATTGATTTTCAACAACAAACAAGTATGCAAAGTTTAGAGCATGGTATTATAATCTTTTTTTCTTTAGCAAATACAATCGGTTTTTGTTTTTCATATTCTTAAATTGATAGTTCTTTTTTCAAGTTGTTGATTTATTCAAATAATTCCTAATACGTTAGCTAATGGAATGTGTTCTCTTTTTCAGTCCATACGATAGGATTCGCGTGCATATAGCACATTAAATAAACAGTTGTCATGCATGTACCCCATTCAATTTTTGTACTCGTAAGAAACTAAAGCAAAATCTATCATTCAATAAAGACAGCGATGTTGTTATGATAACTAACGTTGTTTCGTTCGCCGAATAGAATATATGTTTTTTTTATTTGTATATCAAATGTGACAAGAAGATTCAGCGGACATCTTGATTAACATTTATTGAGTTTTACCAGAAAAAAGCATAAAAGTAATAAATGATGCACTATTGTGCTCTCGTCTGTTGTTAGTCTATCGAATCAATGTGGATTCTAATCAATTTCTTTGTAGTCTTTTAAACCAGACGGATTTAAAGTGTTTCCGCAGTTACTTGAACGAGAATCTTAGTAATAAGAACAACACTTTAATTTCATTATAAACATGTTGCACTATCTTTAGCCAACCATACCCTAAAAGTTATCAGCATAACCCTATCCTACCCTGCAGAAGCCTCTCTTTCATTCGACGATGTCACTTTCGCCGAAGAGCACATATACACGCATAATGTCCAAGTTTCATTTCATGAAAAGAAATTTTAAAATTTAGTAAAAAATGCTCATGCCCTATTGGTGAAGTAGTAAGAAGAAAAGATGAATAATAAACAAATAAAGAACAAGTGGCAAAGCAATATCCATTTGTTTCATTTGGAAAGATAAATGACGTAAAAATCCAACATTAGAATAACAAATGAGCATGATATGGGGTTAATTGACTATTTCAGAAAATCTAAAATAATCTAAAACCAATAAAAACTAAAACTCTCATTATCTTTTGATCATCATGCGTCTTAGCATGATTTAGAAAAAGAAACTAAATTGAGTCTCTTGTATATTTCAGTAGTGTTCTTCAGTCATCACATAAGTACCGGCAGTGAGCTGCCATAATTATGAAAAGAAAACAAAATGTTGACCTCCAAGTGACCATAGATGAAATCAAAGAATACAATGCTATTTATTCATGGTTTCGACGAATTTCTGAACTAAAACTACTTTTAAAATCTTTCCTAAAAAATCTACACCGTACAGATTTGTTTTTAAAACAAAATATACAACAGTAGAAGTTTTCAAAGCTTCAGTTGTCTGTGTACATTGCTTCCAGTGGAAGCCTTCCACTGTTTACACTTGACATTAGAAACATCACTTCTAATTAGTCAAAGTTTTTCTTTTCTATTTTTCTTCAGTAATAACATTGGGAAAGAAACAAAAACAAAAGATTTCCGTCAGTATCAAATAGTGAAATCGAATTCGACCATTGAATAATTATCCTTTTGCCTAAAATGCAAAAGCAAAAACTGTTCCTCAATCGTAATTCAATAAAACGGATTCTAACGTATGATCTTTTTCTCGTTAGCAGAAATGGAAAAAGAAAAACTTGCCGCAAATAACAATTAAGATAGATCAAATTAAAACGAATCGTTTTTTTTCTAACTAGAGAAAAAAAACATTCATTTGAATTCAGTGTATCGAATTCTGAATTAGCCAAAGTTTTTCTTTTAGTTTTGCTCCTAAGCAGAAAAGTATTCATCTTTCGAAATTGGAATTGCCGAAATGCCATTTACGTCAAGTTTTTTCTTTGTTTCCCCCTAGTAGCAAAATGAATGTGGTTCAAATTCGATTTCTCGAATAACCATTTACGAAAAGTTTCTCGTTTTCTTCCGAATTACGAATATTTCTGTCATTTGAGTTCGATTAAGCCTTGAAATGAATTACTGTAAATAAACTGAATTAACAAGAGGAGAAGAGAAAAAGTGAGAAGACTGGAAACTTCTGCATTGTATTTTGAATTTCGTTATCTGTGATCATGCTTTAAGAACGGGTAAAATCTGCAGCGGAAAACTAAAGAATAACAGGCATTCACTCGATGATAAAGTAACACGCTAGTTTTAGTGCAGCTCGAAATACCTCGGCATTTCGATTATTCATGTGAAAATATTCTAAGTAAGAGAACTGTTTCTCATTCAGCTAACAGCACTTGCATTCGATTCTTTTGTCTTTTGGTCAAGGCCCACGACGTGGGAGGGGGGGGGGGGGGGGGGGGGGGGGGGGGGGGGGGGGGGGGGGGGGGGGGGGGGGGGGGGGGGGGGNCAATTAATTTCACATATTGGCGATAACATGTGGAGTCTTGTTCGATGCGAAAATAATGCCGAAATCTTATAATGTAATCCAATTTCAATGTTTTGATTTGAATTATTAACAGGATTATACAGAGCCTTTTTTTATAATTGATTTAACTTTATATTTATATATGATATTTTGTTTTTAATTCAAAATCGAGGATGTTAACTTTTCAATCACAAATATTGGAAATTTACACTATCTTATTCCAATTAATTATTTTTGTTAAAGGGGGGGGGGGGGGGGCCCCCCCCCCCCCCCCCCCCCCATTTTCCAGCGTGTCTGCCAAATTGTTTTCGTCGTATGACTGCGAAAATTTCTGCAGAACCTAGGTTTCTGAAAATCTCACAGATCGTGCATATTTCGCTCTTACTTTGCTCATACTGTGAGCTGTCTGCTGAATCTTCCAGATTTACCAGACAGTGTATAGAATATCGTCGTTTCAGTGCATCTACTAGGTTGTCTGTACGGATTGTGGTTAAAAGTGTGAGTGGGAAATGTGTCTGTAAGTGGTCGTTTGTGTGGTTGATGTATGTATTTATGTGTACGTGAAAGAGTGTAGAAAGACTGGAAGTGCCAGACTAACACTGATGCATACGTTCCGCAACATCGCATACCCAATCGATGATCGATAAATGGTTAATAAAAAAGACTCTTGATTGATATAATTGCTTGCATAAATCTCGCTAAGAGGTAACAGAATGGTGGAGACTCTTTCGAGATTTCGTTTGTGAAGTTTAAAATATTTGAAGTAACGATATATTCGACATTTTGCGTATAGAATATTTTTATATACTTTCCAGTATATAAGCGTTTTTATTGAATACACTAGCGAAGCTTGACTCGATCAAGACGTTTTTTAAAAATTGCGTTTTATGTAGGTATATTTTTTGTTACGCTTTTTATCGTGTATATGAGTAATAAATAAATTGATTCTTATCTCATGCGTATTACCAAAAAATGATTAATGCTCGATCACATTGTACGATGTAAGCTTTAGAGAAATTTTCAAAAATTTTTCGAAGGCTGGAAATTACACGAGATGTTCGTTCTTAGACATTCGAAGCAGATAAACTGTTTCAGATTACTGTAAATTGAATATAAAACACTTGTATAGAAATGACTGTCTGGGAAAGTTTCTGAACACTGTCTGCCAAAAACTTTAGTCACCACCACTCTCAAAAGCAATCGAGAGCCTTGCTTTTGGTCAGACTCAAATAGATTCTCAAAAGTAGTCTTTCATTCTGATGAAAACTAAACATTGAAATACGAAGAGACACTCATTCTTATAGTTTCCTTTCAGAATTGAAAAGTTCAGAGAAGAACAGAATTGATGAGAAATTCATTTGTTTCTAAAGGAAAATAATAAAACTGTTTTATTAGATTGTAATAGATGCATGTTCATAGTCGAAAGTTCTAAGAAACAAGAACCTGATCAGACGAGACGATTGCTCAACTTAGATTTTCTATCTTCTTACAATTCGAACATATTAAGATGTGTCGCGGACAGGATATGAGAATGTTCGTTCCGTGCGAACAAACAAACAAAACACTTATTTTCTTCTCTACAATTCAATGATCTGACACATTTGCATTCGTTTGTGCTTGACAATAATTTCAAGTTTCAATCAATTGATTGATTGACACAAACAAAGTAATTGTTCATATCTATGATATTCCCAACATGAATCATTCTTCTATCACCAAAATTTCTCACTGGAGATTCCGATGGTTTTCTTTCAAAATCAATGAACATTTCTATGTCGTTCCTCTCGTTTTCATATGTGACTATATTTCATGATTTCCAAGATATTGGTTTGTTGAATTCTGTAAAGTAAACGAGAGTTGAGATTTGAATAAAATTTTATTTCAATTTCAACGTATAAGATTCAACCCTAGTTAATATACAATTAGAGCAAATAACAAAGATTATGGTTTATGATCTTTCACGAATATTGGTTCAGATATTGTTCTCCTCCTCTCATTCAAAAAGAAAAACATTATCATGATCATGATTGCTAATAATGCTTGAGAAAATTCAAATAAACCTAATAGAATTGTGTTCGATGGGTCGATGTCACTTGAAATAAGTGATATTATTATTGGTACAGAAGCAACAACCAAAACCGGTAAGAGATCATTAAGAAGTACATGCATCAAGAAGATATTGTAAGCAGCCATGACATAGCCCGTATAGTGTAAATGTTTCAAGCTGCCTGGTACAATATGACAATCCGAACGAACTAACATTTCGAAGTTCTTTAGCCATTGATAATCATTTAATAAATCATTACCAGAAACATTTGTGTGCAAATGTTCCACAAAAGCATCAGCTTCTGCAACCATTCTGAACATAGGATCATCATTAAATGCATGATTTTCAATGATCACACTATGATAATAGACGAACATGAACCAAATAGGTACAAGTGATACCATAAATAAACAAATTGCCGTCAATGAATTTATATCCTTTGGAGCAGAAGGCCATTTGAGATACCGATAAATGTTTCCCGGCATTGTTATCAGTGTTTTGAATAGAAATCTTAAACAAAAACTTAAATGACATTTTATATTGACAATCAAAGTACAAAATGACACTCTACTATTTTTCTAAACAAAGTATGACAAAGTTTCCAAGATGTAGTGTTAGAATTAGATAAAAAAAAATATGAAATAGATCCTAGGAATTTATGACGGGTACCCACCCTACTGAGAGAGGCGTTCATATCGAAGTCTCGCGAAAATCTGTTTCTTTTTTTCAAGCAAATTTTTGACTGTTTTGTTCGATGTTTTGTTTAGGCCCCATTCACACCAAAAAGATAAAACAGAATCAACCACTAAATCGTCTCAAAAAGATGACTTGAGTGTGAATTAACCAATCACGTTGCTTAATTCTGTTTTATTTTTTTGGTCTGTTTGGGGCAGTGTTTTTAATGATTAGTGTACCCCAGCAGAACAAAGTGTACGTACACTCTGTTTTTTCAGAATACACTTTGTTTTCCTATGAGGTACACTCTGAAAATAAAATTTTTGGCTTAGTAGGGTGTACATGTACACTGTGCTTCGAAATCCTATTAAAAATACTGGTTTGGGGTCTTACACTTACACGGTAGAAAAGCTCTATATTTCATCATTAGTTGACGAATCAGGAGCGATTAAAAAGGAAATTACTGAAAATCGATGCACATCAGTGTCAATAGAGAGAATAATTTTAATCACAATAAACTATAATAATTTATTTATTTTTTATTCAATAAATTATATAGTATAGATGTCGCTAAACACAGAGTGCTGAGTTTAGCTGACACACACTATGTAAACTTCATCTTGTGCATATTGATTATAATGATCAATCACGGTCATTTTCATGTTCTAGAATTAAATTGGTACAAAAAAATTAAAAAAATCATCTAGAGAACAGTGAGAAAATAGATCAATGACCATAGTAAACGTGAGTGAGAATACTATTTCAGCTACTTTGACTAGTTTTGACTCGAGGCGCTCTCTCACAAACATTTTCAAATTCTTTTTTTAACTACGGATGTCTTCAAAAGTGAAAATCAACAATTCTTCATCTTTTATAAATGATGCTTTTTCATCAGTATTACACCTTAAAATATCTCCTAGATTTTATTGCTAGTGATACTTATTTATATAGTTTTCACTTATCTAAAATAAAATGTTATTGAAAATTCGATTTCAACAAAGTTCTCTGTTGAATTCCTCTATTATTAACAAATGTCTTCCAATAAACATGATAGATCGAATCTCTCATCTAATTGAAAAGACGTCATATCACTATGATCTGGCCTCCGATTGCACTTGTTTAAAAATATAGGAATCCTTAGAGGATCAAGGTTGTCAAAGATATAGGATTTTCGATAAAAATGACAAAAATATAGGATGTTTTATACATAGTTTCTGTTGAATTGTTTTGCTGTTTTTTAACTGCCCTGGTCGAAAATCGTTTTAATGAAGCTGTTATCAACAGTTCAACTGTAGCCAAGATCCTTATGTATTTTTTTCTACTGAAATAAGTCGCTAATTCGAGGATCATTATAAAAGTTTTTCACAAATCGATAAATAACAGTAAAGTAGATCATAAGCTTTGAAAAAACAAATACATGAAAAAGANTACATCGGGTTGTCTTTCAATGCACGATAATCAATAATCACATTATTAAAACAGACGCACATAAAGCCAAAAGGTAGGAAAATAAAAAAAATAAACCAATTGCCACGAGAAAATTCGTATCCGTTGGAGCACAAAACCATTTGAGAAACCGAATCACGAGTCGCGGCATTTTTATAATTGACTAGAATGTAAATATAAATATTTAAAATAGAGAAACAAAACTAACATATATAAAAATCTTCTCTGAAAAAGAAATGTTTTTTTTGTTTTTTTTAATGTTTATCGTTCAAAATTTGTAGAAGAGTTTTGATCATACATAGTTCCTTTACAGCTGAACTGAGAGGATGAATCATAAAGATAATTAATCGTTCAATCACAATCGTTCTTTCAGAATGTATCACTAAGTATGAATAGAGTTTTCTAAGTAATGAATTTCATCATGTCTACATGAAAAGTATTTAAGATTTCTTCGAATTTAAGATTTTTCGTATTAGATCCGATTCAAGCTTCGCATCGCATTTCGTATACGCGTGAAACTCGAATACCATCTAGCTTAATTAATGCATATTGAATTGGTACAAGTTCTTCAAAGTCATAGTGACATATTTCAAACTAATCTAAACTCAATAGTACTCCGATCTTTGGAATTTTAGTGTATATATATATAGGATTTAGTTTATATACTACTAGGTTGGCTAATTAAGATCACTCTATTTTTTCATTCCATATAAATTTTGAAATATTATGGTATCGAATATTTAGTGTCATACAAATGATTCTCTATGGTCTAGTCATTGTCGTTTTTTTTTCATCTTAAAAATAGATTATTGATTTCGACTTTTTAAATATATTTATAAACAATGTATGATGACACTTACCATCTAAATTTGCTTGTTTATCAATAAGTGACGCAACAACAATCAATTGAGTTCGTTTAATATTTGCTCTTAATTCAGTATCATCAAGTGCTTCAACAACCGGATATGGATTTGCTTTATGTTGAATCGTTGAAGATCCTTCTTCATCTTGTGTCGTTCCTGCTTCATATTTTCCAGAAGCTAAATAGTTTTAAAATAATAAATATTTTCTTAACATTTGACCTATAGCGCTAAAGAGCTGGTCTCTATGGAAATAGACATCAGTCGAAAAAGTATTGTTTCAAAAACTGTGTTTAAAAATATAAAAGAAAATAGCGCGCTCTATAGAACAAATTTCATTGTATAAAATTGAGCCACCAAAAGCTGTTTCGCATTTTTAAATTAGATAGGTTTCAATCGAAATACAAAATAGATTAGTTTTTTTTGCCAGTTAATCTCCATATTCTAATTTGACATGATTGCAAAATCGTTGAAACATTATGAACTGATATTGGAAATGTTAAATGTAACTGTTGACTTATTTCAATAAACTATTCGGACCATAAATATTCATCATCAGCTATCACAGATAATTTTGGTAATCGATAAAAAAATGTTTCAAGTAAAAAATCTCGTATTGGATCGAATTGATAAAGAAATAAACTTTGAAGCTTCATTGTATATCTACCAAGTCTATTAATAATAAAATAGAGAAGAACAAATATTATAAAACAAGAAGACAAAACGTTACTCAGATTTATCATCATTTCGTTGAAAACATTGATATGATTTATAGGATGTTTCATTTTTCTAGATGATGACGTTCAATATATTCAAGTAATTTAACCATTGTGGAACAAGAAAATGTTCAAATATGAAAATTTGAATGCATTAATAATGGACTAATATATTTGAAAATTTTATTGATATATTCAATCTAATTAGGAATCAATTTTATCAAAAATACAATAACAAAAAAATTGCTTTTAACCTATTCAACTAGATCTGATAAAAGACTTGGTATATGTGACGCTATTGAAATCCAAGCACATACAGTTCCCGTTCTATGTTGATGAGCATTTTTTAAATAATTCTCATATAAATCATTCAAACATATTATTCGATCTTCTGATATTAAACGAACAATAATCCATTCAGCAAGTAAGCGAAGTGATGGTTCATTCTCTCGAGTTAATGTGTCAACTGTATAATCATAGATTATTTTTAAAAATCTCTAAAAGTCAAATATACTCAAAACAACTTTTTTTTGTTTAAATTTCTTTCTACCGAATTTTTGATCACAGATGTTAAACAATGAAGACATTGAAGTGAACGAAACATAATACGATGTTCAAGTGAATTCGTACAAAAACGTGGTCGACGTTCTTTTGATGCTAAACAACGATGTTTTTCAATGGCTTGCATGACAATATCATTTTGTTGAACATTAAGTAATGATGGCCACATATGAAGAAGAAATAATTGTATTAATACACGTATATTTCGATCATAACGATATTCACTAGAAGAATAAGTTTAAAGAGTATATATAATAATTGTTTAATCAACTTACGGTATTATATGAGAACTAGTAATCAGTAAACGAATCGATTCATCTTGTTCAACATGTTGCTCTGCTTGCCATTGCTGTCTGAAAAAAACAAAAGTTTTGCTCGAGATTTTATTTTTATTTCTATTTTACTTTTTATCTTTTTGATAAATTTGTCCGAAAATAACACATTCAATTAAAATTGGTAAATGAGATGATTGAATTCGATGTTCCTGTAACCATATCGGAACGGTCGATTCAAATATGACATTCATAATTCCGGATACGTGCCCACAGTTTTCAAGCATTTTTGTAAACCACCAATTAGGAAATAGATGATTTTTTTAATCAAACTTTTCGAATTTTGGAATAATGTCTATATTAATTACATACTTGAGTCAAGATATTAGATACGTTCATATCGGTAACAGAAGATAAAATTGCTTGGCAAAACATGGTTAAACAAGGGCAATAGATTGGCGTTCGATTCGATGATCAATTTCATTGAGTACAGTAACTGAATTTTCGATTAGTTTACATTTAATTTCATTCGTTGTCTACAAAATAAAATTGAATATTTATTATAAAAGAAACAAAGCTTTCATTTTACTTGTGTTTGACGAAGTAAGACACCGCCGATAGCACGAAAGGCATAAGGTATAGTTCTCTTGGTGATGCTTTAAATAAATCATCGATGATATTATCACATAAATCCACTGATGATATATTATTAGCAATTAATAAATGTTTAGCAATTAACATATCGGCTTGTGGAATGCTTTTTTAAGTAAAAATAAAAAATAAAAAATAAATATGAAATAGAAAAATAAATGTTTATTTATACCTGATATTGGGTTGATCGAGTAATGGTAGAAGCTTAGAAAATAATGGAAGAATACGAAATTTAGGATTCCATTCGTTAGTAAAATCTGATAATCGATTTGTTAAAAGTCAATCCACGGAATGTGCAAATAAAACCAATAGACATTGCCAACTATTTCCTGACTAAAAATAATTAGAAAATATATTTTCCAATCAATTACAATTACGATGAGATGATTTAATTCGCTTACAAGCACAAAACTACGGAGGATTCGATAAATTTGTGTTTTAAAACTATCTGAGAGCTTTGATACGTACCAACGAATCGAAAATTGACTCCGATACTTTTTCAGTACCATTTTATCAGATAACATAAGTAATGCGCTCGTGCTGCACTACTTTTTCCATTCACACAATCATCTGTCATCAATACTTCATGGATCTTAATATAGATACATTAAACAGCACTTATTAAGACACTGTGGTTGGAAAAGCAAACAAGCTTCGAAGGAGCTGAGGAAAAAAACTGCTTCGCGGCGCATGTACCAATGACGGTTTCTTATTTTTATGAAATAGGTCGTTCAGGCCTTATGAATATTTCAATGATGCATATCGTATGCATCTCATACTGGTAATAGTTTTTGACTCCGATAGATCCCCGGATAAATCTCAATCGAACATCGTTTAGCTTTGTGAGATATCTCATTTCTCAGTTAAAGATTTGTTCATATTCCTATCAACTTAATATCGTTCCATTCTTAAATTGTATGTAATATCATAAAAGAATGGTGTTAAAGCATGCCTATTCACCAGTTACTATGCAGCTGTCTCTCATTAATGATCACGTGTCAACGTTTTTTTCTCAAGAGAGATTCGCTTTCTCTTTAATAGAAAACATGAGGAATGAACCAAGCAAGATTTCACCAACGCGGTGACAACTAAATAGCGATGAATTTTACATTGCTATTTATTTGATATGGTTTTATCTTGTGATGTAAATTAAAAAATAGACATTGGATTCTTTGCTATCCTAGTGGCATTGAAAAGTCGATTCCAATCCGAAAAAAAACAAGCTTATGCATCTACCTGTTGTTGTTGTTGTATCATTGCTTCAATTTGAGTAATTAATTCTTGTAAAAAAACGGCTTATATCTTCATGATTTCCAACCATTAAAAAGACGATTGGTAATTTAGCAAAAGCGATTGATTGTTTAATCTATATGATTAAAAATAAATATGTAAATTATTAGAAATGATGATTCTTTCTTACGGAATGTATTTTAATAAAATTTAAACTTTCTCGTACAACTAATCGAATACTTGATGAAAGCCAATCTTTAATAAAATTTGATGAATGAAAATAATTTTCTTGTATTAAACCCGAAAAAAGTTCAATTGATCTTCGAACATTATTTATTGACATATATGGACGTTGATAGGCTGTTCGAATATTTTCAATTAATGGATTAAATATTGTTTTTAATATATCTGTATTACGATTATCAAGAAGATCAAGTAAAAATGCTGTTTGACGATATTCTAATAAAGTATTATCAAGCGAAAACAGCCGAGTATCTAATGATGCATTTAAATCTTCGGATGAAAGAAATTCTTCGATTAATGTTTGTAATTGTCGAATATTAAATGTGAAATGAGTTGATATTGTTTGAAAATGTTGATCGATCAAAAAAAGAAAAAAATCGTGAAAGATTTGATGATATTGACCAATCAAGTAGATTAATTACAATATCAAGTATTGATGAATAAGCAGATAGACGAAGAACTGGCGCATATGTATTAAATTGTGTTAATATTAATGACGAAAATATTTTAATATGTTCATCATTTAATAAAGATTGATTTTGATGATTCAAAGCAAATGTTTGTAATGAATATAATACACGTACAAGTGATAGATGTGACCATTTAATAGTTTGTAGACGTGATAGCAATGCTAATAAACATGAGCCTAATAATTTAAATAGAAATTGAATAGAATTTCAAAAATTCTTTTACTTAGATTTTCAGCAACATTAAGCCATCGTTCAAGATAAGATTCTAAACATAGTTCCATAGGTTGTGAATCGCTAATTTCCTCACCTCTAATAATTAAAAAGCATTTTATACAAAAAAAAACAATGAATGAATACGATCTTACTTGAGAAAAATAAAATTATTTGATGACCAATAAAGTACAGTTTCAAGAAAGAACTAGACAAATAAACAAATGCATAAGTGGATATCGGATAAGTGTTTTCTTGTAGAAATTTTAAGAGCAAAATGAACCGAAGAGTACTCACATATGTATGAACTGACTTATTTTAATAGAAAAAGAAATGACTTGAGGCATTGTATAATCACTGAAAAGCGCTATCAGCTAGATAACTCATTGACACTACGTTCAGTTGTCTCAGTGTTGCGTGCTTTCGGAAAACAAGGCATAACGAAGCCAAAATAATGTCGTTTAAGTGACCGGATAATTCGTCACGAGTGTGTTGATATGAGGAAAGATCTTTTGTGTGCCCACACACTCACCCTGCGTCAGAATACTCTGAGATTAATATATTTTAATTGAATTCAGCTACAGCCAAATGAAGAGGATTGGCTACTTTGAATTGAATTTTCTGATGCTTACTTTAATCTGAATGTCCCACGAACTTGATTATGAGGAAGAGAGAATACTTCAGATTACTGCAAAAAACAAAAACTCCAGGTTTGTTCTATTGTCTCCAGATAATAAAAATCTGTTTGTTTCAATATGCTGAATAATCTTCGATTAATTTTTCTCCTTCGTTTTCTACAATAAAAACTTTCTCAATCCCAGGTCGTGGACGTACGGCGGGAAACGGCCGGAAAGCACAGGAAAGCGCTGGAAAGTGGAAGCAGTATTCCAGTTGGAAGTTACCGGATTTTCTTCCTGTAGATTCCGATCAACTTCCAGATGTAAAACACAGAAAACTGACCGGAAAACACAGGAAACTGACCGGAATCCACAGGAAAAAATCCGGTAACTTCCAACTGGAATACTGCTTCCAGTTTCCAGCGCTTTCCCGTGCTTTCCGGCCAGATACGGTGATTTTTCCGCATCTTTCCGGCCGGTTCCTACAGTATCCGTCCTCCGGAATCATTGACCTGGGATACTGAAAAAAACATTATAGCAAATAAAAACTACGTAGGCGATTATTAAAGGCTCACTCGTTATGTGATAAAAGAGTTTCATAAAAGAAAAAAGTCGACCAAATTAAAACTAAGTTGCCAAGCAGAATGGTGAATAAGCATTGAAGTCGACAGGAGCCTCCATTTGCCTCGTAAACATATCTTTTCTTGACAGCCTACGGTAAGCTATGAAAAGATTCATTAGTATTATTTAGGCCGAATAGGCATGTCCAAGGAGGTTTTTCCTTCATGATGTATCATGATGGACATCTTTTTTTCTAATTACAATAAATATATTGACGATGGGTGATACCTGACATAATGAGATTAGATATTTTTATTTAGTCTAATTACATTTCCGTCATGTTTCACAATTTAATTACGAAGAAAGTAATTTTTATCGACTCACATATTCTACTTGTTTATCAGGCAATGTCATAGAATTAAAAAACCATCGAACAGTCCAACGAACAAGCGGAGAACTTGAATTAGCAAATAAACGTTGTAGTAGAATAAATAACTATGCTAACGATAATCCTAAAAAAACGAAAAATTGAATTTTATTTGAACACTAAAAAACAAAAATATCATGTTCAAGAGAAAAGCTTAGAAGTCAATCGAATTTTGTCAACAATGGTTTTATTAAATGAACAACACCATCGTCAAGCGCTTCATAAAGAACAATAAAATCAATCCAAAATTGTTTTGTTTTCTCATCAATTAAAATTAAGAATCGATTGAATTTTTCTTCTTTAATTTCAATATGTTTATATTCTTCATTGGTTAATATTTGTTGAAATAAATATAAAGCACATTTACGTGTACGATCATTATTCGATGTACAATCACCTGATGAACGTTGTATTAAATACCAAAATGATGGCATCAAAACAAAGACTTTTGTTGATCGTAAATCAATTAATAATAAAAGAAATAATTCATTATTATTTTTTATTATCAGTAATGTAACGTACAAGAATCTTTTCTAGTTTAGTTTGATGATGTTTAGAAAAAAAAACGCCAAGCATAAGTAAGAAATTTTGGATCATGTTGATCATACATTGCTGATTCTTATTGTGTCTAGTCGAAATCTAGTGATAACGAAATAGAATGTTCAATATTATTGAGTAATTTGCATAGAAGTTCACGTAATTGAACTGTTTGTTCATTATCAATAATTATTAAAAGAATAGTTTTTATACGATGAAGACGATCTTCTATCTTCATTAAATTCAAACATGAAGAGAATAAACGATAATAATGAATCGATGGTGAAATTTATAATAAATAATCCAAAAGTTGACTAGCTATTGAAATTGAATCAAGATGTATATTAGTTGGTAGAGAATCTAAAACTTGATTAAGCACTTCAATTTCTTTTTCTTGTCTACTTGATTCATTTTGATATGCAAGAATATTTCACATAGACGTTGCGATATGATGTGATAAGTCATTACGATTAATAAATGAGATTAAAAGCTCCATTTTATCTAAAGAAAACAAAAATCAAATATACCTTTCTTTTTTTAAAATAATTCTTTTATAGGTTTCTAATAGAAATCTGAGACAAGGTAAATTTATTACTATTCTCATCTTGAGAAAATAATGTACACATATTCAACTGACTAAGCCTAAAAAAGTACTTCTCTGAATTAATTTTTACTATCATATGTATGTATATGAGAAATAACAATATAAAATTGATTTGATTGAAATTTCTAATTTAATACGTCGGAAAAGTATATATACGTAACAACATTACAAGTCTAAAGACAAGAAAAAGAGAAATTTGATAAAAAAATTCTTCGTAGTTTCATCTATAATTCGAATATCTAAGCAAGAGTAACTCTTCAAGTAAGGTGCACATAATGCAAAATTCGAGCAAAATTTATTTTAGTTTTATTTATATATGGTTAGATAGAGCTTGGTGAGCTGATCACGAATATGTGGTTTCTATTTTTTTTTTACAATCTTTTAAGTGAAAAAATCGAAAAANTCTTTTTTTGAAAAGCTTCACCTGTGGTCCCACCGGATGTTGTTTTTGATGAAAAATAGTTTCCGCTGGAACATATGCCACTTGACTCAGTTTTTTATGCTGATTTCGAATATGACACTCATTTTCTTCTTTGATAAAAGAATGATAGTAAAAATTGTGAATACCAGTGAGCTTTTTATGGATGTCACCAATGAGATCGAAAAATTCAATTTTCTGAAGAATGAAATAAAATCTAAAAAACCTAAATGGGTACTGTTAAAGCGTGTGCTTCGGCGGTTTTAATGAAGTAAGACACTTGGCTGTATCTTTTCATACAAAAAACTAGAAAGGTTCGCAAAGTTGCATACTCGCATACACTAATAGAAGTGTTCGACACAGCGGCATTAAACAGATTTTTAACTTCGAATTAATTAAATACCACTCTCGTACTCAGTTTTGGCCAACAAATCAGAAAAAAACCACATTGAAAAAGTTTGCGGAAGAAAAGTGAATAAAAATAAATTTTTTTCTGAAGTCAGCCATTTTTGCCAATTTTTAGACCTCACGACTGTTTTTCGATTTTTTCACTTAAAAGATTGTAAAAAAAATAGAAACCACATATTCGTGATCAGCTCACCAAGCTCTATCTAACCATATATAAATAAAACTAAAATAAATTTTGCTCGAATTTTGCATTATATTTGCACCTTAATATCCCAGCAATGTGCTTTTTTTCTATTAAAATGCAAAATACGTTACATTTTCAATATCGTTAGTACCCTTGAATGCTTTGGACTTGTGTGAGGTACTTAATATTGAGAATGCACTGATGTACAATTAGATTAAGCTTAGTTATATTTGAGAATCCGACATGACTGAGTGGATATGTTGTTCGACACATACTCACAAGATACTGTGTTCAAACCTCAGTACCACCAGTTATTTAATGACCCTGGACAAATCACTAACGGCGACTTGTCTCGGATGACTCATCCGATAGTGTATTGATTGCATCGCTAGTCAATATACAGAGTCAAAAACAACTCCATCATAGATGTCACAATTACGTGACACTTATGATGATCGCCACCCATATGGGAGCTATTATTATTAACATTTGAGAAGACTTTCTATCCAATCGTTACAAATGCATACATAAATGACGCTTGTTTCTTTGTATAACGATCGACTCGACACATAACGAGGAACTCATCTAATTCGAAAACGAATACAAAAATCCATGGTTTACCATTTATGATCAAAACTCTTCTATAAATTTTGAACGATAAACATTAAAAACCACAAAAAAGAACATTTCTTTTTCTGAGAAGATTTTTATATATGTTAGTTTTGTTTCTCTATTTTAGATATTTATATTCACATTCTAGTCAATTATAAAAATGCGGCGATGCATTATTCGGTTTCTCAAATGGTTTTGTGCTCCAACGGATACAAATCTTCTCGTGGCAATTGGTTTATTTTTTTTTTATTTTTCTACCTTTTGGCTTTATGTGCGTCTGTTTTAATAATGTGATTATTGATTATCGTGCATTGAAAGACAACCCGATGTATCAAATAATCACAGAAGCAGATGATTTAATGAAAGACTTGAAGAAAAACGTGTCTGGGCATAATCTATTAAATGATTATCAATGGCTCCATCAATTCAATTTGTTAATTAGTACTAATTGTTACATTGTACCAGATAGTTTGAAATATTTACGTTATACGGGTTATTTTATGGCTGGTTATAACACATTCTTAATGCGTATACTTCTTAGTGGTAAATTACCGGTATCGTTTTTCGCTTGTATACCAATAATAGCATCACTGATATCCGGTTACATTGATTCTTCAAACTTGGTTGTATTAGGGTTTTTCGAATTTTCTCAAATCGTTTTAACAATGATGATACTATCAACATTTAGCTATTTGTATTCTAAAGCAAAAAACCTTGAAGCAATACGAGACCGCAATCATGAACAATAATCTTGAACATTTTCATTTTTGTTTTTTTGTTTTTGTTTTGTGAATAAAGAAGAAAATCATATGATTATATGGAAGTTAAAGAAAACAATTTCTTTTGTTGTAAAATCGAATTTGGAATGCGTTGAAAAGCTACGAATATCAATTCTTGATTTATCCGAAATATCTACAGCAGAAAATGGACAATCTTTTCTGCGATTAAATATATCGCAATAAAATTGTTATACAATGTTGAAATTATATTTGCTTTTTTTAATTAGAGTAAAAACATATTGTGTCTATGCAGCTCAATGAAGTTGAGAGAAAGCCTAAGATTATTTATGAATTTCTATTTGAGAGCATCATAAAACAAAGTGCTCATCTACAATGAACACAAACACAAGAAATGAAATTACTATTCATGATATTAAGATAGAATTATATTTATTTTCTTACCGTTTATTAGTATTTTAATCATCGAATGCGTTTTTATTGAACATCATTACACATAAAATTCTTCTTTTTTTTAAAAATAATTACAAATAAGTTTTCATATTTAGG